AACCCAAAACCCCAAACCCTACCACTGCTGCTGTTCGAGGCACCAGAACTCCACCATCACAGCGGCCCACAGCGGTTCTGGTGCCTTCTGGCACCTCATTCATTTACAGGGCTAAGGGTTCAGGGATGAGGGCTTGGATTTTGGGTGATGCTTTCAAGCAACTGCAGGGTGCCATCCCCAAGAATCCCAGCGGGCCCTTTGTTCCACTTCTTTTCTCTAGGCTGAGGTTCCTACATCGTCTCCATCACACAGTATATAAAAGGCGGTTTTTTCTTTTATATTGTTTTTTTTTTCCGAGGTGTCTGTGGGACCAAAAGATCCTAAACCCTACACCGTCAACTCAAGGGGTTCAGACTCGTACCCCTAAGGTTGTTCCCCTAAAGGTTTCCCTTCATGTGGTCCTAGTATGGCCCTTGCATTCCCCTTATGAATCTTCAACAAGGGTCCCCAAACCCAAGGGTACCTAAGGGGTCCAAGGTAGGAGTCCCTCGATCAACCCTAAACCCCATACCCTAAACCACATAAACCTCTAACGAGGAGGATCGTCGAAAACGGACCCTAAGCCCGAAACCCTAAACCCTAAACCCTAAACCCTAAACCCTAAACCCTAAACCCTGAACCCTAAACGCTACTCAAGCGCTTGAATGTTTTGGAGCTTCGGGGCGACTATCAGCATGTCGTGCCAACATGCATCAGTCACTTGGCAGCCCCTCCGCATCATTTCAACATGCGTAAGACCGTGGGTTTAGGGTTTAGGGTTCAGGTAGGGTTTAGGGTTGAGGGTTTAGGGTTTAGGGATTAGGGCCGTTTGGGGTTTGGGGTCTAGGGTGTAGGGTTCGGGATTAGGGCTGGTTGGGGCTCTGGGTTTTTAGGGCTTAGGGTTTAGGGTGTGGGACTTCTGCTGAAGAACTCTCACATACAGAAACTTTAATCCTAAGTGCCCAACGCCGAAACGCCCTCAACCCTAAACTCCAAACTCCAAACCCCAAACCCCAAACCCTAACCCTAAACCCTAAACCCTAAATTGAGCCGGCCTTGACCCCAAGCAGACGCAGTGCGCACAGCACTGCCGCTGCAGTGGCAGCTGCCGAGATGGCGTACAACGCCGACCTTTTTGTGAACCCACAAGCCCTAAACCCTAAACCCTAAACCCTAACCCTAAACCCTAAACCCTAAACCCTAAGCCTTGGGGTCTTCCCCCTTATACGAACAATCCTGAATAGGGATCAAAAAACACCGGATTATAGTTAATCCCTATTAAGGACTGTGAGTAGAAGGAAGAACATCCCAACCACAAGCGGCAAACCCTGTTGGGGTTTAGGGTTTAGGGTTTAGGGTTTAGGGTGTAGGGTTTAGGGTTAAGGGTGAAGTGGTTCAGGGCTTCGCGCTTGGGGCTTTGCACAACCCGCAGTAGGGTTCGAAAACGCACTCTCCCCAAGGGTCCATGTACCTAAGTAGTATGTCCTTGGGCCTTAAAGGGATTCCCACGTGGTAGCTTTAAGGCCCAAATATATACTTTCTGGGCAGCCCTAAACCCTAACCCCAGACCCTAGACCCTAGACCCTAAACCTTAAACCCTAAACCCTAAATCCTAAACAAACTCTTACCTGGGCTGACCATGGTGCCGCTTGCGTTGGCATCCGCGGGTTCTTCACTTGGGGGCCAGATGAACCCTAAAATTGGGTCTAGGGTTTAGGGTTTAGGCTTTAGGGTTTAGGCTTTAGTCAGGGCTTAGGGTCTGTCATATACAATATACTGCTAGAAACCCTGTTACGGTATATGAACCATAAGCCCCCCAAGGCACTTCTGGGTGCCCTTTTAGCTACCCTGTAGAAAATAAGGTTTAGGGTTTAGGGTTTAGGGTTTAACAGGGACCCAACAAGTAGAGAACTGCCCATAACAGGTTATGATGAGGGGAGTCCTAGGGGAGTTCTAGGGTTTTTTGCCTAAACACTAAAAACGAAACCCTATAACCCCAATGGACCCCAATAATAATAACCCCAATAACCCTAAAAACCCGTAACACCCTAAGAACTCTGAGGTAAACCCTAAACCCGTTTGGGGCTTGGGTATTTTAGAGCATCAATGGCACCCCAAAACCCTGCGGCATCGTTGTTCCACGCATTTCCAACTCCCTAGCCGGCCGCTCTGCCAGTTCCTCAGCGAACTCTTATGTGCTCAAGACGTCGGCCTACTTGAAGGTTCATGGAACTTGCCTTGCCAGAAGATGCTCGGTGTATTCATGGTACCTTCAAGAGGGACATACGGGAGTACCCTGAAGTATGCCCAACAAATACGTAGCTGGCTACGGCACCATACAAGGGATTGTATAAGAATTGTATACAAGCGGTACTCGAAGGGCGGGTGGAAGTACCAGGACTCCATGGTATCTAAAAGATGGTTCCTTTTGGGGATACTATTACTAAGGCGGCCTCAGGAGAGGCTTAGGGTTTAGGGTTTAGGGTTTAGGGTTTAGGGTTTAGGGTTTAGGATTTAGGGTTTAGGCGAACGGGGGGAAGTAACTAGGCGTGTAAGGGACTTGGGGTTTTTACGGTTCAAAAACAGACCATGAGGACCATACGCCACCACCATCCGCCGACCCGGATACCCCAATAGCTCCCGCATGATCTTCATACAGGACCCCCAACGGCTGCATCTGCCTCAACAAACCATCGCCAGGGTCTAAGGTTTAAGGGCTTCGTGTGGGGATGTTCCCCCTTATACTAACAGTCCTTGATAGGGACTATAGTACCCCCTCGTATAATCCCTATTAAGGACTTTAGTAGAAGGGGACACATCCCAAGTTTCGTGTATCAAAGAGTAACATTGCTACTTACTTGGCAACTAGGCGAAAGTCCTCGGAGGCGCTGTCACCGATTGGCAGGCGCCACAAAGACCTGAATATGGGCGGGTGGGGGGGGCGGGGGGTTCCGAATACAGGGCGAGTACTTTTTGGGTTTGGGCGTTCCTTTGCGAAGGATGAAAGTATCTGGGGCATTTGGGCACCCCCGTTATTTGGGCAAATACCTCTAGAAAGATTCAGGAAAGCATGCGAAGCTGTCCACACAGAGCAGAAAAAAACATCACGCCGTCTGCGCGGGAGGGGGACTCCGACCGCGACTCGGCCATGGGCACTGAATCTATAAGTTGGGATGTTCCCCCTTATACCAGCAGTCCTTTATGGGGATGATGATAGGGGGGTACTATCATCCCTACTAAGGACTGTTTGTATATAAGGGGGAACATCCCAACGTGTAAGCCCAAAAACCCTGAACCCTGAATCCCGGAATCCCAGGCCCTACACCCTTAAGCACCCGAAACTCCGCCTCCCCCCCCTGAAAAAAAGGCAGCGCGTCTAAAAACCCTTGAAGCCCTAAACGCCCTAGAAACTCCAAAAGCCCTAATTAAGCCCCAAACCTTCAGGCTCTCACCTGGAGACGATCCGCTGGAAATCCCTAGAATTGTAGAATCGTAGCCCTAAACCCTAAACCCTAAACTCTAAACCCTAAACCCTAGACCCTAATGTCCCCAGCTTCAGTGGCAAGAGGCGCGCCAGAGGAAGGAGGCCACCAGCAGCGAAGCTAAGCATTCCTTCAGGGGGCCATGGCCCATAATGGGGTTTAGGGTTTAGGGTTTAGGGTTTAGGGTTTAGGGTTTAGGGTTTAGGGTTAGGGGCTCGGGGCTTCCTGCGTGTATCAAAAGCTGAACAGTCACAATTGCAAGGGTCCCTATGTAGTTCAAGTAAACATTCGTTTTTTTATAAGAGTATTCCCTATAAAACTTCGAGCGTATTGCTTACTTAAGGGGTATTGGCGTTGGGCTGCTCTCTCCGGGCAGGTTTATGCGTTTGCGGTTTAGGGTTTCGTGTAGGGTTTAGTGTAGGGCTTCGGTTGAGCCTAGCTTTTAGACCCCTAAACCCAAAACCCAAACCCCAAAACCCTAAACCCAAAACCCAAAACCCTAAAAGTGTAGAGCTTTAATGGATTGTCAACCAGTCTATAGGATAGGAGCGCAAGACCCAACAGCTGCCCACATCCCTCAACCGGCTCCAGGATCCCCAAGCCCGATGGTATCCTACATAGATAACTAGGCCCGGGAGTAAGCTAGGATTAAAAAGGCTGCCCTTTTTTGGGGTCTTAAGGGGATTATAAGGGAACCCCAACCCTGAAAAAAGGAAAAAAGGGCCTACTCCCGGTCCTAGATAAGAAGGGCAAACGGAAAGCGCATCCCCAAAACCCATCAAGAGAAAGCACGCGTTTGTTGGTCCTTAAGGGGAATCTACCTCCAAAACCCCCAACCCCCCCAAAAACCCCTCAAGGCTCCAAGATCTAAACCCAAAATAGCCTCTGCCCTGTAGCCGAAACCTTCCCTCCTAGCCCTAAACCCTAAACCTAAACCCTAAACCCTAAACCCTATATAAACCCTTTACACTAAACCCCTAAACCCACAGCCTCGACAGGCAGGGATGCCCACGGCCGGACAGCGCAGGCCTCGGTGGCTAATACCGCAAGGGCTCTCGGGATTTGAGTTGAGGGTTTAGGGTTGAGGGTTTAGGGTTTAGGGTTTAGGGGTTTAGGGTTTCGGGGTTTAGGGGTGTAGGGGTTTAGGGTTTAATTAGGGTTGCAAGGTTTAGGATTTCAAGGCTTAGGATTTCAGGGTTCAGGCTTTCAGGGTTGAGGCTTTAGGGTGGAAGGGGGTGTTGAAATGTGGGTCCCTTTTGGAACTTTCCTTTCTTTGTCGGAACTATCTATTCGATCACTCGTCTTCTCGAAGCCACTGCCTTTATCTCTAGTCCAATCTAAACCTTAAGCCTTAAACCCAAAAACCCTAACCCTAAACCCTATATGAAGTAGGGTTTAAATTTCTTGTACCCCCAAAAGGACACCAAATATATACACTCACCAATCTTAAAAAGGAACCTGATATACACTCACCAAGAACAGTAATATAAACCCTGCTTCATATCAATCCTAAACCCTAATTTCACGTCACGTCTATTTCTATCTCAAGCAGTAGCTCCGTTGATGGCGCAGACGAGAGACCTCCATCTGCTTGGCTACAGGCTCCAACTCGTCCCACTCAAACTCTATCCAGTTCGCGGCGTCAGTCCTGGAAGAATGCATGGCTGTTTCCAAAAAACACCCTAGTCCAAAATCAAGGGCGGTCGGTCTAATCTCTAAGTCCCTGAAGCACCAGACCCGGCGAATAACCTAGGATCCCGTCCAGGATCCGGAAAATCTCTCATGACCCAGGTTCAGGAATGGAGCATTGCCTGCCGCAGCTCACTGGAAACCCTAAGCCCTAATTAAACTCTAAACCCTAAACCCTCTTAGCCCAAAAGAGGCCAAATGAACATGGCAGACGATACGGCCAGTTGCACGGGAGGCGTGCCTGTTGAACCACTTCTCGCTGTGCACATCCTGCGCCATGTAAGGGCTCAGGGTTTAGTGCGGTTTACTGGTTCATAGTTGGGATAGTAATAAAAACTTCTAATTTTCTTCCTTATTGAGTTTAAGTACTCTTAGAAATTTAAAATGTTACCCCACTATGACAAAGTTTCGGGCTTGGGGTTTACGGCTGCCTGCTTTCAAGAATACATGTAGGGCAACGAGCATGTGCTGGCACACGCCAGCTTCAATCAGATCGACAGCATGCAGCAATACCCGAGTATTCGCAAGGAGCTTTGCCAGTATCCGCATCAAAAACACCCTAAACCCTAAACCCTTTGGGGCTCGTCAACAACCAGGCCCCTTAGTGGCTACCTTGCAACTCAGACAGACACCCGCAGGACCGCAGGAGATGGCCTGAGACCTTGTGCTACAGGGAGCTGCCCCTGAATTTGCAGGGGACAGACTTGGGGTAGAAGTACATGTCTGGCTATAAGTCTGTGAGCTGCAAATTCTGTAGTAAACCCTGTAGACCCTAAACCCTAAACCCTATACCCCCTAAACCCTGGCATTCTAAACCGCTTCTTTCCCTCGAAAATCTCCCTGCAGGCTTGAACAGGGTACAGAGGGATAGGGTCACGTGTTCCGTATGGGCCCACACTAAACCCTAAACCCCTAAACCCTAAACCCCTAAACCCCTAAACACCGAAACCCTGAATCCTAAACCAAATTCGAGCTCTCTGGAAGAAGACATGATGCAAGCCCAAGATAGGACTGTTCCTGCATCAAGAGGTGGCGGAATCGGATAAAGCGGATCATTGGCACCTCGGAATACAGCACTTGCAGAATCGGAAACTCAACACTCACTCCGAAGCCGCCTGTAGTTACATACTACACGGACATGTGACACGTTGGCTAGCAAAGGCTAAACCCTAAACCCTAAACCCTAAACCCTAAACTCTAAACCCTAAACCCTAAACCCTGAAAGTGCAACTCCAGCTTTCTGTGCATGGGCGTATTTTCCGTGGTGCCACCGGCGGCGTGAGCTTGGCATAGGCGTCGCTGAAGTTGCCGTACATGAGGCTCTTGATGCCTGGACGCTTGTTTAGGGTTTAGGGTTTAGGGTTTAGGGTTTAGGGTTTAGGAAGAACTTCCAAGCCTGCATCAAGGAACAGAACCCCAAATCCCCAAAACTCTAAACCAGTAAACCCTATAGAGCCCTAAAAAACCTTGGTAGCCTATTCTAGTAGATTCTAGAAAGGGTACCCTTTTTGGTGGTTGGTTGCTTTATCAGGAAACCTTGAACCAGAAAGGGGCAAAAAGGGTACCACTGGGCTACCCAGTAACCCTAAGCCCTGAACCCTGAACCCTAAAGCCCTCGGCCGCCCCAACAACCCAAAACCCGAACCCCAAGCCCTAAACCCTAAACCCCAAAACCCCTAAGTCCTATACTCCAAACCCCACTCATACTATAAATGCCCTCAACACCCTACACCCCGAAACCCCTAAGTCCTATACTCCAAACCCCACTCATACTATAAATGCCCTCAAAACCCCTGCGCCCTAAAAGCTGCAACCTCCACGCCTGAGCCCGTGAACTCTAAACCCTAACCCTAAACCCTAAACCCTGAACCCTAAATCCTAAACCCCTAAACCCCAACCCCTAAACCCATAACCCCTAAACCCTAATTGAGCCCCAACACTCCCCAAAACTTGGGCGCCTTTCTCAAAAGGCCCGGCCGCGAGCTCCGCCGCGGAGCCGCGGCGCGCGGCCACGGAGGCCGTGAGCCGAAGGAGCCAGGGCTGCAGGGGAAGGTTTAGGGTCTAGGGTCTAGGGTTTAGGGTTTAGGGTTTAGGGTTGAGGGTTGAGGGTTGAGGGTTTGGGGTTTGGAGTGTAGGGTTTGAGGGTTTGGGGTTTAGGGGTTTAGGGGTTTGGGGGTTTGTAGGGTTCGGAAGGGTTTAAGGGCTTTCTTGGGGGGTCAAGGGTCGAGGGGCTGTTTGGGGAGTAAGGGTTGTAGGGTTAGGGTTTAGGGGGGGGGGGGGGGGGGGGGGGGGGGGGGGGGGGGGGGGGGGGGGGGGGGGGTTCCTCACAGAAAGCTAAAACTCTATAGCAAGCCATTCTTTGCCTAAGTGCCAAACGGAACCTGCACCGTGTCGAGGGCTCAGCTTTTCAGAGGTCAGGGGGAGGGCGATTAATAATCTGCTTTCGGGTCTAGGATGAGTATAACCCTAAACCCTAAACCCTAAACCCTAAACCCTAAACGGACTCAGGCGTCTGAGGACAAGAGGACTCCGCCGAAGCTGTCTTCTTTTCAATCAGAGTTTAGGGCTGAGGGTTGAGGTTCGTGCAGATGCACGCATGTTGGGGTCGATTGGGCCGCTTGCTGAGAGAAGAGGGCTTCGGGTTCTCAAAGGGTTTATGGGGTTTATAGGCTTTCGGGTTGAGGGTGAGTATAACCCTAAACCCTAAACCCTAAACCCTAAACCCTAAACCCTAAACGTTCCAAAGCGCGGCAGAGGCACGGCAGTCTTGCCCCGTTTCTTCTTCTTCTGTGCCTGAGGCCATGTGTTTCTGGAGCTCTGATGCCAAGATATCTGAGACGACTGAACTTTATGGCCCTTAGTTAAGCAAGTATAGCTAAGCAAGTATAAGCACCCTGCAGAATCACTTGACGGGTTAGGCGGATCTAAGGCACCCTGTAAGTCCGAACCACCGAGCCCAAAGGCCTTTTACTCCCGCAGCCTAGCATCCAAACCAAGACCCTAAACCACGACACAGCTCCAGCCACCCTTTGCGTCAGTTGTTTTCCCTAAACCCTAAACCCTAAACCCTAAACACAAAACCCTAAACCCTAAACCCTAAACCCTAAACCCTAAACCCTAAACCCTAAACCCTAAACGCTACACCCTGGAGGGTTCAATTGTGCAGGAGGGCTTCGGATCGATGATAGCTGCTTAGCTTTTCGATAGCTGCCTACCATGCCGGACTCAGACCTGCAAAAGACAGAACACAGCGTAGAACCAGGGTTTAGGGTTTAGGGTTTAGGGTTTAGGGTTTAGGGTTTAGGGTTTAGGGTTTAGGGCAGAAGGCTTAGGGTGCAGCCAGGGACTAGATAGGAGGTATTGCTGAGTCGTCAAGAGTGTCGAATAGCTGCTAAAGTGCCCCGACGACAAAACGAATCCTAAATGTTCAACTTACGGATCCTTAAATCCTTCAACCTTAAACCCCCTGTGATAACAACCCTCTTGGTAGCCCAGTAACCGCATTATAATGAGGGCACCCTGTTTGTGAGGTTGGCCGCTTTCAAGGAACCCTTAACGCCAAACCCTAAACCCTAAACCCTAAACCCTAAACCCTAAACCCCCCCAAAAAAAGAGAAAAAAAGGGGGTACCACCGGGCTAGCAAGCCATATTTCAAGCTCAGCTGCGAGCTGCCACAGCACATAGTCCTTCGTTGCCCAGCTTTGCTTAAGCAAGTTAGATGACGGCCTATAAAAAAGTCACCTGTCTAGGATATGTACATACATATATACATATATATATGTATAAATTATAGAATATAAATAGAAAATAGATATACATATATACATATACAAACACAAACATTCTATGCCCATTCGCACGTCTACATATAGGCTGGATGATTGAATTTCTCGGTGCAAGCTCTGCAGTGATACATGGAGTTAGAGCCGGCAAGCTCGTAGTGAATTGTTGCTCACGGACATCGCAGGGTACCACAGGAACTGCATCGGAGCCCATAGGTAAACACGAAGCGCGCCCCCCCCCCCCCCCCCCCCCCATCAAAGGATGGGATGTGTTAAGATGTACAAATATACCAGACTCAAGAGTGACATAGGAATAAACAGAACTTAAACCCCAAAAAAAGGAATAAGGCCTGCCTAATCTTGTTCTTAGTATGTATATGGATATATATATATATATGTATAGATATAGATAAAGATATAGATATAGATATGGATATAGATATACATATATATATATGTATATATATATATATATATATATATCTATATGTATACAAGTATAAATGTGTGTAATCATGTAATTACTTATTTATTTGCTTTATTTAGTGATTAGTTGTCTATGTAGATTTACCATTATATAGAAGGCTTCTCTTCAGGCTATGTGAGGGATACTCAGGCAAGGGCGATACATAAAGCTTGTGTCCGGGGGTGTGTGTGTGTGTGGGGGGGGGGGGAAACTTCCTACCTGCACTTCTTCTACATTGGGGGAACGGAGGGTTCATGACCTCCCTGAATCTTCTGCCCAGACATTTTGAATGCAAACTTGAATGAATATCCAAGTTATACAGCAACGACTTTCTAGCTTAGCCAAGTCGCCATGCGCGGGCCTTGGCCAACGATCAGCAGGTTCTTAAATCAGCAGGTTCTTGGGATTTAAGGGTTGTTTCACCTGGCCAGAACCCACAAAGGCTTTGTAACAAGGTACCCAAAGCCATGCTACATCGGGCATGGGTACCTGACTCCTTTTTTTGGGTTTTTGGTTTCGGGTTCAGCGTTAACCCTTTGTCCTCTGGGTACTTTAGAACTGCGCAAGGTCCCGTGAATAGCATAACCTCTCAAATATCATCCAGAAGATCCAGCTGCGCCCCGTGTCTAAGCCCTTAGTTCTGAGTTTAGAGGTTAGGGTTTGAGGTTGAGGGTTGAGGATCATAGGCTTAGGGGCTAAGGGTTTCGGTGTTTGGGCGCTGGAAACCTGAAATCGTGAAATCAGGTTTCTAAGTCCTAGACTGTCTAAAACTGCCTATAAGCCATCTAGACCTAACACGTGTCAACCCTAGCCTGAGCAACCCCAGCACTCTATAACACTTAGAAGCCCGTATCGCACCACCTGTGAAACTCTACCTACCACCAAAATCACCAAAACCAATAAATCGAAAGATCGTAAGCTCCAAACCTACCCCAATCACACCTTAGTGTGTACATGTATTTATATATAGAAATATATATATATACATCTGTTTAAGAACTTATTTGCGTGCCAGTATATGTATATATATATATACATATACAAATGTATACTCCTCATGCTTCAGAGGTTGCTTGTCGGTACTTTACTTGTAAGCACCTAACCTGTGAAACCCAAACGCTGAACCTTCAACACTCCAAACTTGCAACCCCCAAAACCCTGTAAACCGGGTAGCTGTAATCTCTGAAACCCTCAAACCCGCATACCACCCTGCCCCCAAAAACCCTGCACACCCTAAGCCCCTCAACCGGATGGTTAAACCCTATGCCCCTGAAGTGAGCTTCTAACTTGCAGCACCCTTGTTCTTGCTGCTTGGACCCTGCCCTGAAAGTCTAAGCCCGAAATCGAAACCCACAAAAACACCTAAACCCTACACTCCCCCAACCATCCCTGAGACCTAAATCCCTAATTCCCAAAACCTAAGCCCTAACAAAAACCCTACTAAGATTGGCCTCTCAAACCCTCTGAAAAGGAGCTCTGAAAATTATCCGCGTACAACCAATAACGTAAGGGTCCGTGTACCTCATTATCATATACTTGGGCAACAAAGTTCCTATATAGGAGGTACTGAAGGCACAAGTCCTCCCTAGTTCGGGACATGGGCCCTTCAGGATAAGGCAACACGTATAAAAAGAAGGTCCCAAGGGCCTAGCCAGCCCATAACCTTGAACCCTGAACACTGAACCCCGAACCCTATAGCACCCACACCCTAAACCCTAAACCCTAAACCCTAAACCCTAAACCCTAAACCCTAAACCCTAAACCCTAAACCCTAACCCTAAACCCTAAACCCCAAACCCCAAACCCTAAACCCTACCCAGCCTAACCCCTTGAACCCAAAAAAAGCTGGGTGGCTGTAGGGCTGCACCAGCGCCGGCTTCTTCGCGGGCTCCGCGCCCGGTAGCTGTCGGGAGCTCAGGGAAGCAAAACGGCCTTGGGCTTGGGTTCAGGGGGTAGGGGTTAGGGTTTAGGGTTTAAGGTTTAAGGTCTAGGGTTCAGGGTTCAGGGTTTAGGTTTCGGCTTTAGGTTTCAGGGTTTAGGGCTTACTTAGGGCTTAGGGTTTAGGGTAGGGTTTAGGGTTTCATTCGGGTTTAGGGTTTAAGTTTCGAGTCGGGGTTTAGGCTTCAGGGTTTACGTAGGGTTGGGCCCCTATAAGCCCTAAACCCTAAACCCTAAACCCTAAACCCTAAACCCTAAACCCTAAACCCTAAACCCTAAACCCTAAACCCTAAACCCTAAACCCTAAACCGAGGGTCAAGGGTTCTTCTTGAAAACTGAAGCTAGGGCTCTCGGGAGGTTGATCGGAATTGATGGCTCAAGGTTTGCGTTTAGGATTCCCTGTTGTTTTTGATTTTTTTTCTGGGCTCGTGCTTGTTGGCTAACACAGTCGGGCAGAACTGCGGGGGCATAGGGCATAAATCAGGCTGTGGTAGGGCTTCATGTGCTGTTTCGTCCTTAAGGCTTACGGGCTTTGGAGGGTTCAAACCCTGCAACCACTAAACCCTTTACCCTCCTAAAAACTTCGAACCACCCAACCCCCAAAAAACCTAAACCTTACAACCACTGAACCCGAAACGCTAAACCTTAAACCCTAAACCCTATAACCTCCAAAACCCCGCATTGTGCAAACGGGAGGCTCTGCCCAGTCGGCCCAACCACCTGACTGACGCTCCAGAAGCCCTGACCCCAGTTGGCCCCTTAAAGCCCTCTGACTAACAGGGTTCAGGGTTTAGGGTTTAGTACTAGGTTGGCCCCTTAAACCCTCTGAAAGAAACTATGCCTGAAAAATATGGGGGGTTTTCGCAATTCGGGGTACCTTATTCGGGTCCTTCTCATAGGGGAATCCTACTATTTTGGGGACTATAGTAGGGGTCCCTAATTTTCCGGCAGAAGAAGGCCCGAGGCCCCTCTAAGGTTTAGGGTTTACAGTGTTTTGAGTTTGGTTTAGGTCTTTGGTTTCAGGGATAGGGTTTAGCTTTGGATTAGGCTTCAGGGTTTTGGGTGCAGGGTTTGGGGGTTTATGTTTATGGGCTTGGGGTTTTGGACTTTGTGTTTAGGATTCAGGGTTTAGAGGGGGCAGGGGGGGGAAAGGGGGGGCGCAGCGGGGGGCGGGGTGGCGGGCAGGCAGGGGAAAGGGGGGGCGGGGGGGGGGGGGGGGGGGCGGGGGGGGCGGGGGGGGGGGGGGGCGCAGGGCCAGGGCGGAGGGCAAGGGGGGGGGGGGGGAGAAGCAAGGGACGAAGGAAGGCCAACGCAGGAAGCAACACGGGCCTACATACACACCAGTTCGTAGCTCATGGGGAAGCAGGGGGTTAGGTGCCTTGCATCCCCTTATCTTGCCCTTTCAGGCTTTATCGAACACATGATTCAGTATCATTCCTTGCCTAGAAGGACTAAGAATAGTAGGTACCCAAACCCGCAAGAGAGCAGAAGTAGTAGCTTCTTGGCATCAAAATATTACTGAGCAGGTGCTTCAGATGTTACTGCACCCTCCTCAGCATGCTGCCACCTAAGCTGCCGGCTAAGAGACCGAACTCGCATCATCCCAAACCCAAAAC